ATTTTTATTTTATATTTTTTAATTTTTTTTTTTTTTTTTCTCCAATGCATATGAATTCCAATCTGTATTTGATTTAGAGGTAAAATGCCATAAAGATTGTCTTTATCATTTAATGACAAGCAAGAGTCTGGCTCATGGATTGTTGTTTGATTCCTCACGATTAGATCTCATTAGGTGTTTGCTCATGTCTTTGTTCTTCACCAACAGATGACTCTGAGGAAGACTCCGGAAGAGACACGCCTGCCAGCAGCTCCTCTCGACAGGAAGTAGATGATGACAAGAAGGTAAAGAAAAAGAAAACCAAAAAGAAGAAAGAGAAAAAGAGCAAAAAGAAGGACGAGCCTGAAGACCCTGAGAAAAAGACAAAGAAAAAAGGATTTGGATTGTTGAGGTATGAGTCTAAAAAAAGCTAGAAAGTCACACACATCACAGTTTTACTCAAGCATACATGTATAAAAGGAAATCTTCACAATGATGTGTGCCAAATGATTAGCAAATGATTGAAAAATGGATGCTGTTTTGCAGCTCTTAACGGAAATGTACTGAAAACGTATTTAATCCTAATGGTCCAAATGAAGTTAGAAAACATTCATGTAGTATTAATTTTGTGCTGATCTATTGATAGATAGGGGGTGACTGATGGTACTGCATAAGGGCCCCCTGATGCAGCTGCACATGGAGGCCTTCCTATAATTATAGCACCATGGTAATTGAGGACAAGAAAAGTGAACTAACTATATGCTGTCTTTGTGTGATTTTATAAATATAGGCAGAGACAGATAAGATGACAGACATACTGTCATATCCATGCCTTTAATTGAGATCGACAGGCTTGTGTTTGATGGTTTTATATTTGGGCTTCATGCATAATCTTTTCCTCTCTTGGCGGACATTAGAACTCTTTTCATCTGAGATGAAAGATGATTGAATGACAGTGCATGTGTCTCTGAGTTATAAAATAGACCTCCTATGTCTCCTCTGTGAGGGCCGACCCCTGTTTTTCCAGCTCTGACTATCAATTGATCAGTAGAACCTTGTATTTGCATGGAAACCTTCATTTTGATTAGTTTTTTTGGGGATTTTATCTTTGTTCGCTTGGGAATGTTTCACCATTTCTGTCACTGCTAGCTTACAAAGTCAACGAGAAATTGTATCCACAAACCATTTGACTTCCATCATGACGTATTTCTGACTGAAATATGATGTTCAACAAGAAAAAGTGTTGATTGTATCCGTCGATAAGCGGTTGGATCGTGTAAAATTGGTTACAAGTACCTGAATGGAGGTTTTTGATGGCTGTATGTATTATGCATTCAGTCTCATTATAAATCTTATATTCTAACAATCTAAACAATCAGATGTAGCATTTTCACCAAGTGGATGTAAAAACGGCCATACATTTCTGTAGACTTACATTGATAATATTAACATCAACATACAAGACTACATACAACTACATACAAGTCTGCAAGAAATTGTATCAGCAAGCCATTGACGAAGAAATATAATGACATATTTCTGAATTAAATAAAATGTTTACTAGAAAAACTAGAAAAAGTGTAGATCTTATCCACCGGTAATTGACTGGATCGTGTAAAATGAGAGACAAGTACAAGAATGGATGGCTGTCTAGGGCTTAAATATGCTACTGTTTTCCTTTTTTTCATACTATTTTCCCCATTTACTGTGTACGCTTCTTGTATTTTATTATATATTCATTTTTTTGGTAAATTTTACATTACATGTACTTAAAAATATACCTATACTTGTGTACTTAAAATGTACTGTCTTTTTATGATATTGGATGTGTTTAGTGTGATTTTTAACTGCATATTTTAGCTGAAAGTCACATAAAAGCATGCACTACAGAATTCATCCTTTTAAACATGCTAATTCCTCTGCATGCAATAATCAGATAAATAAAACCCTCACATATGGTTATTTTGACACTGAACACACATTTTGACACCATTCTCATGGTGTGTCATACTAACCCACACTCCGCTCTGATATAAAACACGCACGACTGCTGCTTTCCGATCTGTCCACCTCAATTCCATGAAACTTTCCAAATCTGAACCAACAAATCCAATGCGGCACCAAGCCAATTAGCACGCCTGTACTTCCTCTACCCAGAATGCATCATACAAGAGTCGTGTTGCACATCAAGATTACACACCACCACTCATCTTGCATTCCTAAGCCAGCAGCAGTTAGACACATACTAGTATAACTATAAACACGCTCATAGTGTTTGTTTATGAATGAGCAGATGGCTTTGACAGTAATCTGAATGGAGATGATTCTTTAATTTACTTAAATTTAGCATTTGGCTCTGTTTAATCCCCGGACGATTTTAAAGAAAGTCAGCTCCTCTCCTGCTGCGTCTTGACATGTTTTGAATGTTGTTGAGTTTGTGGTGCTCTTACAGTTTTGTGTTATTGAAGTTATTAAAGCTGTAGCTTTTTTGCAAAAGTTGTACATTTATGAATTATTTAAATTGCAATTGGTTTGCTTTCGGTTCTTTCAAAGATCATTTGGGTTTGTGATTGTGTATAGTAATGGCAGCCATGTTGAATAGCGTGTGCCATGCACAGTCTTTTATGACTCCATTGAGAAACATTCAACCGTTGCTTCAATTACAGTGACTTAGAGTTACACAGCCAATAAAACAGCTAATACTTACCGCCTTCTGAAAACGAACATTAGCGACTGACAATCGAACCCAGAAATGTCTTTACATTTCTAAAGTGCTGTAATACTTTAACATATACATTAGATTTTACATTTCCTGGAAAAAGTTTTAGTGGTATTTGCTTGTGTAAAACTAACTGTCATGAGGTCGGATTTGGCCTAAAAACATTCTACATTTTCCACTATTTGCTAAGGCAGTAACTAAGGCGGGCCTGTTCAATTAGCTTCATTTGAGGGCCGGATTATCGAATTGAAAATTTGAAGGGGGCCAAGGGGGTAGGGGGCCATCCCGATCTCTTTCTGGGGGAGCCTATAAAATTAAAACTTATATTGAAATGCATATTCAGCAGTAAAATGAACTAATATTACCAGCAGTAACTTCTATAAAAGAATAAATATAGTGCTCTCAATTGATTTAAAAAAATAACTAATTAATCACACATTTTTCTGAAATTGATTGCGATTAATCACATATTAATATATTAATATTGTCATCATTTCATATTAAACCTCCAAATTAATGTAGAAACAACATAAAGATGGTTTATTTTAAATATGTGTTTAATGGCATCTTTTTACTAAGTAGCCTATTGTTAATGAAGACCAGTATCATTGATATCAGTAATGTTACTGATGTCTATATTAAATGCATTCTCCCTCAATTTTAGCCTTTAATTATAGCCATTCAACATTACAGTATAATTGAAATCCATTATTTTCAACATTTAATAGGCTCTAAAAAATATAACAACTTTTAATTTAAGTGAACTTAAAACAATCTTCACATAAACCATACATTGTATATGCATAAACTATATAGATTAATCTTTATTCAAGCTACAAACGTTAATGAGCGAGCAGAGCAGTGAGTGATTTCTCTTTTTCTTTTGTTCTGTGATTTCCGTCAATGACAGACTTCAGCAGGTTTCACTTTAAAACCTGACGCACATCAGACACACGTCCGGTTTTCTCCCAACTCTTTACAGACTTTATAACTATTTTAAGACCATGTTTACAGAGTCACCCGCCAGTGTTTTATATAAAAACACTGTGCATGTTTTTGTCCATTGAAGCGCTATTGGCGAGTTGTCTGAAGTGGCTCAGCGTATACGTACAGCCGAACACACAGACTTTCAAACTATACTCAATATGACAATCATCTTCATCAAGTGTCTGCACTATTTCTCACCAGAAGTTATGACTGAAAACACTGTCTTTATACTCGTTGAAACTAGAGTTGTGGATATCTCATAACCGCCTCACACTCAACACTGCTGTCTATTGATGTTGCGGTCTCCTGTAGATTGTTGTTGTTGTGTCTCTTGCTTTTCTTTTTCAGCTGTGAAACAACGGCCCGGGCCAGTGTTGCCACCTTGTGGACAAACTAATTAGTGCAAAAAACAGTTTAAGGGGCCGTTCACATATCGCGTTTTTTGCGCGCTCAAGTTCGTTATTTCAAATGTATCTCATAATGGAAGCGACGTGGTCGGTGCGACGCGCTCATTTTTTCCAGGCGCGTCCGCGCCGCATCGAGATAAAAACATTTCAACTTTTCAACATAAAACAACCTTTGGAAACGGCTTTTACAATCATCATGCCCTTTCATGCATTGCGATATCTCAATATTTGATCTGGGGGCTTGACAGTAAAGTGCTAACAAACTGAAGTTTTGTTTACCTGTCGAGAAGAAACAAGTTTTTCAATTGAAGCCCAAACATTCCATGAAATTTCTCCATCTTGTAAAGGCACTGCCAATCTTTTCTTATGTTTTACCTTGTTGTCTGTCTCTGCATATTTTGGCAATTCTTCTAATTTTGGCTTGCTCTTCTGTAACCAAATCTGAATTTCTTTCCACGTGTAACATGTCAGCCATGGTCTCTCAATGGCTGAACACTCTCTGGCTCAGCCTGCTACAGCAGCCGTGCCCCAAACTATCGCGGTTGGTTGAGCTGGAATGATTGACAGTTCTGAGCGGACCGCTCTAAATGTTTTGATGGTGCCTGGGAGGCTCAATGTTTACACTTAAATAAACCCATGAATGGCGTACTTACTGTAGTCAATGAACAATAAACTGGGTTAAGAGAATGTATTTTGATATAAAAACAAATCTTACAAACTTCACCTTTAAGAGCCGATTTACAAAAACTGATGTGTGGGGAAAGTAGATAAGGGTAGCTAATGTTTTAACTGTCTTAGCACACACATAAACACAATATGCTTTCACACACACACACACACAAACAAAGTGCATGGTTATGACATTTGGTGCACATATAATCATACAATGATGTTTATAATGGACTCCATATCTGTTTATTGACGTTTTGAATTATAGCTTATATTTAGCGTGGCACACATGCTTCAGCGCGGTGCGGGATGGACACATCACGTTTTATTTCCCGTCTGAGTGGGAACATATGAAGCTGTTAACACAATCGCTCAGTGCAGCCCGTGAGAGGCTAATTACTGAAATCTGTTTCTAAAATTGAACCCCATTCTGCAGTGATTTCCTCATTTATTCATGCCAATGTGTTCTGTCAGTCAGGCGTTGTGGACTAAAAACACATATTCATATCAGCAGAGAAGGCACAGAGACTTATGAATATTAATGAGCTTTTGCATACTTAATCGCTCGTGGCAGGCCCTCCTTTCCATGTTTGTTTGTGAGGGTTCATTTGTAGGTTCATCTGTGCTTTC